TAGGCAAGCTATAGACTTAGAGAAAATATTTTCAATTAATATATCTGATACAGGAAATGTATCCAAAATATTTAATAAACTAGAACTCAATAATAAGATAAACATCCTAATAAAATATTGTCAAAGTCTTTTTTTTTTTTGGAAAGAGGATTTTTTACTTTTTATTTTATTTTTTAATGTTTATTTATTTTTGAGAGAGAAAGAGACAAAGACAGACCATAAGCGGGGGAGGGGTGACATGGAGGGGAGACACAGAATCAGAAGCAGGCTCCAGTCTCTGAGCTGTCAGCACAAAGCCCGAAGTGGGGCTTGAAATCATGAAGTGTGAGATCATGACCTGAGCCAAAATCCACTGCTTAACCGAGTCACCCAGGTGCCCCAAAGATTGGCAAAGTCTTAACAAACACTTCACAAAAGGAGGTATACACATATGGCCCACAGGCACATGAAAATGTGCTTGACATTAATCTTCAGGAAAATGCAAATTAAAACTACAGTGAGGGTCGCTTGGGTGGCTCAGTCGGTTAAGCATCCAACTTCGGTTCAGGCCATGATCTCACAGCTCATGAGTTCAAGCCCCACATTGGGCTCTGTGCTGACAGTTCACAGCCTAGAACCTGCTTCTGATTCTATGTCTCTCTCTCTCTCTCTCTCTCTCTCTCTCTCTCTGTGCCTCCCCCACTCATGTTCTCTCTCTCTCAAAAATAAATGATTAAAAAAAACTACAGTGAGATAACTACACATCCATAATGGCTAATATTGAAAACATTGACAGCACAAAATGTTGGCAAAGATGTAAAGATGCTAAACTTTTAAATACTGCTGATAGGAGGGTAAAATGGCACAACGGTTTTGGGAAAGGGTGCAGTAGTTTCTTAATAAATATATACCTGTGCTACCCAGAAATTCCACTTTAGGTATGTTCACAAAAGGGCTTGTATATGAATGCTAATTGCGCTTTCAAAAAACAGATGTCCATTAACGGGAAGAAAGGAAAAATATTCCGTAATCTATTCATACAATGGAATACTACTAAGCAATAAAAATGGCCAAACTGCTGATAACATAGAATAACATGGATGAATTTCAAAATGATTATGCTCAGCAAATGAAATGAGACACAAAAGAGTACTTATTGTATGGTTCCATTACTGTGACATTACAGAACACTCAAAGCTAAACAATATTGAAAAAAATCAAAATAGCATTTGCTTCTTAGAGACGGGGTTGGTTGAGACAATATAAGGTTTTCTGGGGTTGATGGCAGCATTCATATCTTGATAGAGGTGTAGGTTAAACAAATGCTTGCATTTGTCAAAACTGATCAAATTGTATACTTAAGACTTGCATATTTCATTGTATGTAAATTATATCTCAATTTAAAAAAGGGGGACACTGAGATAAAACATTGAGTACATTTAAGAAAAGAACTATGTATTTTTGAAAGAAACAATTGCTATTTACAATGGTGACTTGAAAAAGGGGAAAAAAAGAGTATTTACCGTGATTACAACTGTACTGGCTAAAGTTAAAGAGAATAAATATATTCTATTTATATATTCTCTCTATATTTTCTACTACATTTATATCCTATAAATATATTTATCTATTTATCTATATATATCTATATATATAGATAGATATGTAGATAGATATCTATATATAGATAATATATATATTTTTTCATATATATCATATATTACATATTTTATATATTATATATTTGTATATTTTAAAATATATTTTTATATTCTATAGCTATTTAGAATACATACCTATATTCTAAGTTGAGAAAAAAAGTGTTTTTATACTCAGTATACTGTAAATTCGATTTTAAGGTTTTCATTCTTTTGGTATATTTATTCTTTTTTTTCCTTTTTCTTTTTACTTATTTGAGAGAGAGAGAGAGAGAGAGAGAGAGAGCAAGGGACAGGGACTGGAGGAGAGAGTGACAAAGAGAGAATCTTGAGCAGGTTCCACGCTCAGCACAGAGCCTGACACGGGGCTTGATCCCATGACCCTGGGATCATAACCTGAGCTGAAATCAAGACTTGGATGCTCAGATGACTGAGCCACTCAGGTGCCCCTCATGTATTTGTTCTTGATTCCCTTTATTTAGCTTTGGCTGTCAACTCTGCAAATAGCTGCTCCTTTCCACTGTCACAGGTATTAATACGACTTTTTAGTTTTCATGAATTTCAACAAATGGCTATTTTTCTCTTAAGAGGTTGCTGGTAGGTAGATAAAGACTCAAATTATCTTCTCACCTAATACTTTTTTCCTAAACCTGGTCCTTCTGTTTGTGAAAGTAAATGCTCATAAGTTAGTCATATTTTCCCCACCTCTTTTATTTGCAAAGGGCAAATTTACAGATGTCACAGTCCTTGCCTGGAAAAACACTGTACTTCTTACAATCCAGCTTTAACATTCTGGCTTGCCAAATAAGTAGACAGGTAGATAGGTAGGTAGGTAGATAGATAACTTGCTCAACAGCACCACTGCTCCTTGTATTTATTACAATAACATAGCTATTGGGTTTTGATCAGCAGAACAAGTCATTAGCACAAATTGGCCTTTGGCATGACCTTCTTTGCCAGCTCTTATTCATACTTGGCTTCAGCGTTTCTTCACCGCTGCTACTTTTCTTTCATTTATTCTCCTTAATGTGTTGATATTTAGGCCCCCAGACAAGAGTGGGTGGGAACCAGAATAGCAGTCAAGATAACAGGCATATCTTCTAAGTCTATATATAAAAAAATCGTCTTCTTTTTTCATTAGTAATGTCATTTCATGAAGATTTGGCATTGTTTTTATGATTTTCTTCTCACAGTTCAAATGACAGTATCAGCATCAATACAGTTATGAGTAATATACTAATACCTAATACAGCTTTAAAATAACTTTTGGAAATTTAGAAATCATTGGACTCCATCCAGGTTCTATCTGACTTATTAAACGGGCTTTGACCATGCTCTTTATTATTATTATTTAAAATAATTTTTTAATGTTTACTTTTTTTTTTTTTTTGAGAGAGAGAGAGAGAGAGACAGTGCACGAATGAGGGAGGGGGAGAGGAAGGGGGGAGACACAGAATCCAAAGCAGGCTCCAGGCTCTGAGCTTGTCAGCAGAACCTGACATGTGGCTCGAACACACGGACTGTGAGATCATGACCTGAGCCAAAGTCGGACGCTTAACCAACTGAGCTACCCAGGCACCCCTAGTATTTATTAATGTCAAGTGGGTAGTCTGGTAGGGTTAAAAAGAACTGTACTGTAAGTCAGGTCATCAGCTCTTCTACCCTCACCATTTGTATAGTCTTGATCCTAATAAGAGTCGGGACTAGTTGATCTCCACTTAGAGATCTAATTAAAAATTAAGTCAAAATATTTACTGTAGGTTTACTGGGTTTTAGGTACTGCAGTCGGTCAGAGGTATGGGATGAAGTTGTAACTTTTGGTTCCTTCCCTAAACTGGTAAGGAAGAGAAACTATTTAAAGGGAGGTGACTCTTCCTTTCATATTTCAGTTTAAATGTCACCTTCCTACCACCCTATCTAAAAATAGCTCTTTTCTGAGGCACCTGGGTGGCTCAGTCGGTTAAACAGCTGACTTCAGGTCAGGTCATGATCTCGTGGTTAGTGAGTTCGAGCCCCTCGTTGGGCTCTGTGCTGACAGCTTGGAGCCTGGAGCCTGCTGTGGAATCTGTGACTCCACCTCTCTCTCTGTCCCCTCCCCAGCTCATGCTGTGTCTCTGTCTCTCAAAAAATAATAAACGTTAATAAAAGAAAAATTTAAAAATAGCTCTTTTCCACTCATGTCACCATGTTTATTTCTTTTTAGTGCTTTCTTCTAATTAAAAATATTATATTTAATTACTTGTTTATTGACCACTTTCTACACTAGAACATAAGTGCTTGGGGACAAGAACCTTATTCTTATCATTCATTATTATTATTATTACTTTCTAATTGGTTCTATCTCCACAGCCTAAAACAACACCTGTCATTTAGTAAGCACTCAATAACTATATGGTTTTTTTTTTCGTTTATTTATTTTTGAGACAGAGAGAGACAGAGCATGAACAGGGGAGGAGCAGAGAGAGAGGGAGACACAGAATCTGAAGCAGGCTCCAGGCTCTGAGCTGTCAGCACAGAGCCCAACGCGGGGCTCGAACTCACGGACTGTGAGATCATGACCTGAGCCGAAGTCGGATGCTTAACCGACCAAGCCACCCAGGCGCCCCTACATGTTTAATGAACAAATGTCTGCATCCCTGAATCCAAATATCTGGCTTCAGGAAATAGTTATTTGATGGAGATTCCTATTTAAACAACAACAACAACAACAAACAACAACAAAACTACCTAGAATGGGAAAACATAGAACACATTCCCTCTTCTTAGATTTAGCTTTACTTTCTTTGCAGTCTTAAAGTTTCATTTGTTTTTGTTTCATTATTATCTATATTTTATTAAAGTTTACTTATTTATTTTGGAAAAGCGTGTGGCAGAGGGGCGAGGCCGAGAGAGAAGGGGAGAATCCCAAGCAGCCTCCTTGCTGTCAGGGCAGAGCCCCACAGGGGCCTTAATCCCACAAACTGTGAGATCATGACCTGAGCTGAAACCAAGAGTCAGGTGCTTAACCGAGTGAGCCACCCAGGCACCCCTTTACCTATATTTTAATGCTGATTTGAGCATCAACAATAACAGAGACGAACTTTAAAACATGTACAAAGATGTTGTCCCACTCCACTAAATAGGAATTTTAGAGGCACACAAAGGAACACATTTAACCACAGTGTAGGGCTAACCCACAGATCATGGTTTTTACAGAGATTTCTACTTTATAAACTTGGTTTAGGATTTTTTGCAGCTAAGGTTATGAAGGATGTTGATGCGCAGTTTTCTTTCCTGTAATGTCCTTGTTGGATTTTGACATCAGGGTTACGCTGGCCTCAGAAAAAGAGTTGGGAGGCATTCTCTCCTCCTGTATTCTCTTAAAAAGTTTGTGTAGAAAGATTGGTATTGTTTCTTTGTTACAGTTTTGTAGAACTCACCAGTGAAGTCTGCAGCCTAGATGGATTTTAGGGTGGGAAGATATTAAATTTTGTGTTCAATTTCAGTGATGTAAGACTGTTCAGATTTTGTATTTCCTCTTATGTTCGTTTCAGAAAGTTGTTTTTTTTTTTAATTTTTTAACGTTTATTTATTTTTGAGACAGAGAGAGACAGAGCATGATCGGGGGAGGGTCAGAGAGAGGGAGACACAGAATCCGAAACAGGCTCCAGGCTCTGAGCTGTCAGCACAGAGCCCGACGCGGGGCTCGAACTCACGGACCGCGAGATCATGACCTGAGCCGAAGTCGGCCGCCCAACCGACTGAGCCACCCAGGCGCCCCCAGAAAGTTGTTTTAATGGAACATGTCCATTCCCCTAAGTTGTCAAACTTATTGGCATAAAAGTTGTTCACATATTTCCCTGTTATCCTTTCGATGTCTGTAGGATCTGAAGCGATGCCTTCTTTTCCATTCCAAATATTGTTAATTTGTGTTTTCTCTTATTTTCTTGATCAGTATTGCTTATCAACTTCATTTGTCTTTTCAAAGAACCAACTATTGGATTTCTTGATCTTCTCTACTGCTTACCTATATCTATTCCATTGATCCATTCTTATCTTTGTTTTCCTTCCTTCTACTCTCAGAGTTTAATTTTTTTGTTGTGGAAAAAAAAAACACACAAAATTTACCAACTTAACCATTTTTAAGTGTACAGTTTGGTAATGTTAAGTATATTCACATTGTGAAACAGATCTCCAGAACATTCTCATCTGGCAAATCTGAAACTCTATATTCATTAAATAGTAACTCCTCTTTCCCCCTTCCCTCAGCTTCTGGGAACCATCATTCTACTTTTTGTGTCTATGGATTTGACCAGATACTTCATATAAGTGGAATCATCCTGTATTTATTTTTTTGTGTATGGCCTATTTCACTTAGCATAGTGTCCTCAAGTTTCCTCTATGTTGTAGGGTGTGATAGGATTTCCTTCCTTTTCAAGACTGATTAATATTGCATTTATCTGTCTGTGAGCATCTGGGTTGCTTCTACCTCTTGGCTATTATGAATGAATATGAGTGCTCATATGTGCTATGAACATGTATGTGCAAATACCTCTTTGAGACCCTACTTCCAATTCTTTTCGATACATAGCCAGGAGTGGGATGGCTAGATCATGACAGTTCTATTCTCAATTTTTTAAAGAACCTCCATGCTGTTTTCCATAAGGGGCCTTGACATTTTGTAATTCCACCAGCAGTGCACAAAGTTCCAGTTTCTCCACATCCTCACCCATACCTGTTATTATTATTTTTAATGGTAGCCACCCTTGGGGCACCTGGGTGGCTCAGTTGGCTAAGCGCCTGACTTCGGCTCAGGCCATGATCTTACAGTCCATGAGTTTGAGCCCCTCGTCGGGCTCTATGCTGACAGCTCAGACCTGGAGCCTGCTTTGGATTCTGTGTCTCCCTCTCTCTCTGCCCCTCCCCTGCTCATGCTCTGTCTCAAAAATAAATAAAAACATTAAAAAAAAAATAGTAGCCACGCTGGGGTGCCTTGGTGGCTCAGTCGGTTAAGGGCTGACTCTTGGTTCCAGCTCAGGTCATGATCTCACTGTGAGCTCGAGCCCTGAAGTGGGTTCCATACTGACAGTGTGAAGTCTGCTTGGGATTCTCTCTCTCTCTGCCCCTCCAGTGCACACACACTCTCCCTCTCTCTCTCTTTCTCTCTCAAAATAAATAAACTTAAAAAAAAGTAGCTGCCCTAATGGCTGTGAGATGCTATCTTGTAGTTTTAATTTGCATTTCTCTGATTAGTGATGTTGAGCATCTTTTCGTATGCTTATTGGGCATTTGTATATCGTCTTTGGAGAAATATTTGCTCAAGTCTTTTGCCCATTTGTTTAATCGTGTTATTTGATTTTTTGTTATTGAGTTATAGTATTCTTCCTATAGTCTAATACTAAGAATATATGTTTAGCTGTAGGAGCAATTTATATAGTCTTAATATCTTATCAGATATATGATTTGCAACTATTTTCTCCCATTCCATAGGTTTCCCTTCCACTCTGTTGTGTCCTTTGATGCATAAAAGCTTTTAAGTTTGATACAGTCCCATTTGTCTATCTTTGCTTTGATACAGTCCCATTTGTCTATCTTTGCCAGTCCTATGCCTGTCATTTCTGTTGCTTTTGGTGTCATATTCACGAAATCATTGCCAAGCCCAAAGATCTTCCCCTATGTTTTCTCCTACCAGCTTTATAGTTTTAAGTCTTAAGCCCATTTTGAGTGAATTTCTCTATACGGTGTAAGATAAGGGTCCAACTTTACTCTTGTAAGTGGAAATCCAGTTTTCCCAACACCATTTGTTGAAGAGACTGTCCTTTCCTCATTGAGTTGTCATGCCATCCTTATTGAAGATAATTTAACCATCCCTGTGAGGACTTACTATATATATACGTTTAGATAAGCTTTAAGTTCACAGAAAAGTAGAGTGCAAAGTATAGCTCTCATATACCCCCTGCTCCTCTCCACATGTTCATATGCTTTTACTTCCAGATGTGAACTTACATTGCTGATTTTTAAACTCTTCTTTTCAAATATATACCTTTAAAGCTACAGACCTCCCTGTAAATACTTCGTACCATAAATTCTGCTATGTTGTATGTTTTCTTTTAGTTCAAACTATTTTTAAGTTTCCACTAACGTCTTCTTTGACACGGAGGCTTAGAATTACGTTGCTTAGTTTCCGTATGTTTGTGGATTTTCTGACTATCTTTTTGATATTTCTCGTTGAATTTTTTTGTGGCTAGAGACCATACTCTAATTTTATGCTTGCTTTATGGCCCTGCGGCACAAACTGGATTTTGTTTTACGATGGGATACCGATGGCGCGTTCAGATTCTCATTTTTTTCCTGCTTTGGTCAGGTACAGAATACACCGTGGTGGTTCAACACTGCTTTTAAAAACTAAAACAGCCTCCCATTCAACTGGAGGGCCTCTGGGCTACACCACAGCGTCAGGATGCGGTTAAAACCAGAGTAGTGGCTGGTAGCATCACCTGTTTCAGGAAGGCTTCCCCCACCTCACGGACTGGCTGGGCTGCAGGGCCTGGGGGAGGCGGGGCTAGATCGCAAGCTATCCGCGTACTTTACAAAGCAACGGATGTAGCACCCTCACGTTTTTTCTATTGGTCGGCTCTTCAGAGGCTACAAAGCTAACAAGTTCTCAAAACCCAGAACCTCTCAGAAGGAGCGGGAGCTGGGCAGAGTTCCAGAAAGATGGAAAAATGCATAATCCCTGGATGAAGAGAGCACGTACCCTGCGAGGCCTAGGGAAGCAGGGCCTCGGGTAACAGCGCCCCTTCTCCTCGGAGGGGCCCTAGTAACCCACCCAGGGAGATAACCCCCCCCCTCCTTTTCCAGTTACTCAAACTTCCACAGGGAAGAGGAACTGGGCGTGGCAAAGCCCGTCAGCCGACCGCCCCTCACGTGACGGAAGGGAGGGAGAGAAGGGCCTGTGGTGCCTGCGTCCGCCCAGGCCCCTCCCACTTTACGTCATCTCAGTGGCCCCGCCTCCTCAGCCGTAGGGTGGAGCACGAGGCCCCGCCTCCAAACTGCCAGTCCTCGAGGGCCTGGCTGGCCAGTGGGGCGGGGCAAGAGGCCGGGAGGGGACCTGAGCAGGGGGAGAGGAGGAAAGGAAGGGAGGGGTCACGTGCGGCCAGCGGCTCCAGGTCACGTGACGGGCGCTGGGGCGGAGGGAATCGGGGCTGGGAGTTCTCCTGAGGGAAGCGGAGTGAAGTGGGGGGGACGCGGCGGCGGCGCTGACAATGGTGAGTGCGCGGCGGCTCGCGCGCTCGCCTCCAGTCCTGGCCCTACAGCGCGCGGCGGGCCCGCCAACGGCGGGCCGGGTATCCCGGGTGGGGCGGAGGGGAGCGGCAGGAGGGGGGCGGCGAGCAGGGCGGGGAACCGGGTTAGGCCTGTCTAGCCACCCCCGGGATCGGGGAAGGCGGGCGGGGCCGCCTTTTCCCGGTCTCGCAGAGGCCCGAGCACCTGCGGGCGGCTGCGCGCTCTCCTGGCCATGTCGGAGCCTCTGCCCGCCTTCCTCGACCGGCTGTGGGGGCCCTGGCTGGGTACTCGGACCCCGCCTCTGCGGGGGCTCAGCGCCGCCTCCCCTTCCAAGGTAGCTAGTCCCTCCGCTCCTTCCGGACAGCCTAGCTTCCCTTCAGGTGGAGTGACCCGGGAGTCCCCCAGTCCCGGGCTGGTGGGGGGGGGGTACTGGGTCACTCTCTTTCAGTGTCACGAGCTTGATAAACTCCGGGTTGTTGTTGTTTAATCTCTTTGTGGTGACATTCTGCCGTATCCTGACCCCAGTTCAGCCTTGATTTTGACACTTGTAGAATGGGAGAAAAAAAGGAAAGGACGTTGAAGTGGGATGATTTTAATTCAGACACTGGTTTTGTGCCAGCTAGTTTAAGCTTTGGCTCTCATTTCCTTCCCCAAGCCATTTTCTAGAAACTTAACGCTTCGGGATGTTGAAATGGCCTAGGGAACAGAGAAGGGAGGGAAATCGGAGTACTCCAACCGGTTCGTGAGAAGCACAAGGCGTTTAACTTTGTGTGTGTTGGCCGTCTCTAGAATGGATCTCATTTGGCTCACTTTGTGGTATTCGTTTGATTTTAACAAGTGTACGCTGAGTGCCTACTGTGTGCTCTCTTGATACTATTAGCTTTACCAAAGCTCACTGGTTGAGTAAACTGAGAGTTTTGGCTGAAGCAGAAGCTAGGTTTATTTTTAAAAAATTAAAAATAAATTGTTTTGAATAAATACATCTTAAACTCAGAAATCGTGTTGATTTAATTAAAATCAGAAAAGTAAAAGACAGACCTATTCATTCTTAAACTGGGGGCCCTTTTTTTCATGCAACAAATAATTACTTAGGCTGGCCAGGGGCCACGAGCAAGACTGAAACAGGCCTTGCTCTCTTGCAGCTTACAGTCTAGAGGTAGGTAAACATCTGTTTGTACAAATTATTTAACGTGGAAATTACAGTTGTGATAAATCTAAAAAGGAGACCTTGCCTAGTGAGGGAGTTAGGGAAGTCTTTTTTAATTGAATATAATTTGCCAAGAAGACATAAAAGGCCCTCCTATTTATTGCTTATTTTTAAAATTATTACTTTTAATAAGCTTTTGAATAGTTTAAGAGCAATTTATTTTCAAGTTACTCATCAAACATAAACTGAATTGTAAAGCTTTATAACACAAATGGACATAAATGTAACCTATGCAAGAAAATTTGCTGTTTCATTGCTTGTGTAAATTTTGAGAGCCTCCCTATCTACTCACCTTGAGTTGCATTTCTTTACATCCACTGGAGGTAGTGAAATTTCTTCAGTGAGGGCTAAAGAGTTTGTTGGCTTTTAACATATTCACATGTAATTTTGCTGGGTGGTAATGCCCAGTATGGGTTTATGAATTATATGGAAAATCTTAAGTTAACCTAAAGGTGATAGGAGGGTTAGGCCAAAAATTAGAAAACTGTAAAAACAATGCTGTAATCTTTTCATAGTCATATATATTGCAGGTTAGCTACTTAAAGGCTATCTAAGAGTTTTGACTTGTATATTATTGTCTAATATTGCTCCTGAAAATCTCATATTTTAAATACTCACTTGAAGATATGAGTAATCTTTCAGTTTAATACATGTCTTCTGTAATTTCAGCAAAAGCCTATGTTAATGTATACTAACCTTCTTTACAATTTTCATTCACTTTCTACCTCCTAGTCTTCACCATCTTGTCAATTATGTATTTTGATTACATAACAGGAAAATTATTAAAATTTGATGTGAATAATTAAAAAAGATTTTAATTTTATGACTTTTGTTTGAAATGATGGAAAATGCATATCTTGTAGTAAAAACTTCAAAAGCAAGACTTTGGGTAGACAAATCTTTTTTCTTTCAACTCCTTTTAGAAGGAAAACAAAGGGGCGCCTGGGTGGCTCTGTCGGTCTGGTCGCTTAAGCATCTGACTTTGGCTCGGGTCATGATCTCAAGGTTCATGGGTTTAAGCCCCCCTTGTTGGGCTCTGTATTGACAGCCTAGGGCCTGCATCGGATTGTGTCTCTCCCTCTCTTTCTCTCTGCCCTCCTTTCCACCTGCGTGCTCTCTCTCTCAAAAATACATAAACAACAAAAAACAAAAAGAAGGAAAAAAGACAAACTTTTTCCTCAGATGTCTTTTTCTCTCCGTTGTCTACTTGTTACTTGTAAGACATTGACAGTTTTCTGGAGGCCTTTGATAAGACTAGTTTGTTTTTGATGTGTCCTAATGTGAAAAACTGGATGTTAACCTGGTGCTGAATTCTCATGGTGTTTGTTAACTTAATCTTGTTAAAATGTTACAGTTTATTAATCTATTATGCTTCTGTATGTATTATAACTAGGCTTTTTAAAAAAATCTAATCTGTCCCCATCTTAGTGTTTTGACAATTTATGTTGAAAAGTAAGCCTACTTTTTAAAGTTTTAGTTGTGAAATACTACATGCATACAGAATGTAATAGAGGATAACATAGCTTTCACATATTTTTAATGCATAGGAATTTTTAATTTTTACCTATCATGTCAAAATAAGACTTACTATTTAACTATATAATTATGTTATTAGTTAATTGTGAAGTTTTATAAGACTAGCAAGTGTGAGCGGGGGAGAGGCAAGAGAGAGGGAGAGAGAGAATCCCAAGCAGGCTCTGCGCTGTCAGTGTAGAACCCCCATGTGGGCTTGATCTCCTGAACTGCAAGATCATGACCTGAGCTGAAATGAAGAGTTGGTCGCCTAGCCTGACTGAGCCATCAAGGTGCCCCTCTTTTACACCATTTTAATTAGTGGCAATTTTGATTTTGATCTTTTAGTGTCAGCTTTCAAATCCTAAGTTCTCTGTGTGTTAAGTATCCATATGTGGGAAAAGTTACCATAATATTTGCTTTTATTTGTAAAATAATTTTTGTAGTTTTCGAATCTCATTTTTCCTGGAAGCAGCTCTGGGAAGTACTAAAGGGGAATGAAAAAATTGAATTTTATTTTCCTGCTTCTATTTTATATCTTAAATGAGGTTGTTGTCTTCTACCCTTTCATAATTGCTCCTCCCATAGCAGTTCCCAACTTCCCACCCTTCCCTGCCACCTTGGCTGGCTCAGTAGTTTGCACATAGTTGATAATTAGTAAATATCAGCAGACTGATTTTGAGCTGCTGTACATTGTCATATCTGTAGCCCTTAGGAGAACATAAACCATCTTGAGCAAGTTTTGAATTTAAAACTTGGGAGTGTGAAAGCTAACTAGGAAGGGACAGTGCATATGACCTATCACTGATGTTTTTCATTCTAAGTTCAGAATCATTTTCTGATTAAAATTAGTTTTCTGGTTAAAATTGACTTTGTTATTTGTAATGTTGCCAGGAAAGATTAAAACATTGCTGAAAGGAAAACATGCTGCTTGTGTTTTTGTGGTATGTCAAAAATACAAATCTGGCAATTTTTTGAGTTGATTTCTTGAAATTACGATATATTTATTTTTAAACTTGCCCATTTTTTTTTTAAAGTTTATTTATTTTGAGAGAGAGAGAGCACAACTTGGATGAAGGCAGAGAGAGAGGGGAGAAGGAGAATTCCAAGCAGGCTCTGCACAATCAGTGTTGAGCTGGATGCGGAGCTCAAACCCACAGACCGTGAGATCAGGACCTGAGTGGAAACCAAGAGTCAGACGTTTAACCGACTGAGCCACCCAGGCATCCCTGAAATCACAATCTTTTTGTTAATATAGGATTAATAAAACCCAGCAGGCTCAGAATTTAGGAAAACACTGTCTTCTTTGATCATGGTATCATCCTGTGACCTACTGAGTTTTAAGAGGATCATTAGCTTGCTTGCTGTTACTCTGCTACCTAAGGACAGAATTGAGATTTGATGCAAGTTCCTTGCTTTAGACTTATCTACTGCACTGATGCTAACTTTTGGGGGGAGGGCTAGTTTCACCAAATATTCCAGATTTAACTCCTTTCTTTTGTATCTATTTTTTATTATGAGGACAGCATGTGTTTTTAACTTTTTTATATTTAATTTTTTTAAGTTTTCTTTAATGTTTATTTTTGACAGAGAGAGAGAGAGAGAGAGAGAGAGAGAGAGAGAGAGGCAGAGAGAGAAGGAGATAGAGGGTCTGAAGCAGGCTTCACACTGTCAGCCCAGAGCCCAGTGTGGGGTTTGAACTCAAACTGTGAGACCATGACCTGAGCTGAAGTCGGGCATTCAACCGACTGAGCCACCCAGGGTCCCCAGAACAGTATGTGTTTTATTCAATATTAATTTAACATTCAGTATATATTTTAATGCTTTCTACTAAATTCCACATACTACCCATAGCTACTGTGTCTTCAGTGATGAGCAAAGGATAAAGTATCTGTCCTCACGGAATTTACGGTTCAGTTAGGGATTCAGGTATTGAATAAGCACACAGTATAATAGATGATGAAGTAAAAACTACATGGTGTTGTGAGGCCTAAATTTGGAGACTCTAGTTTCAATTAGGAAGGAAAGGAAGGCCTCTTTATGGAAATGAGTCAGACTGAGACTCAGAGGATGAATTAGTTAGGTTAAGGATACTTGGTCTAGGATGAGAAAGAAACTGGCAAATTTGATTAACTTGGATAATTTGAGGCTGGTGTGGTTGGAGGTAATGGGTAGAGCCAGTTACATGTAGGTCACGTTAGGGAATACGTGTGTGTGTGTGTGTAACAGTGAAGTACAGAAGAGTGCACAAATATACAGCTTGATGTATCTTCACAAAGTGAATGAACCTGTGTAGGAAGTGCTCTGATAAAAACAAACAGCATAGGGGGGTGCCTGGGTGGTTCAGTTGGTTGAGTGACCCATTTCAGCTCAGGTCATGATCTCATGGTCTGTGTGTTTGAGCCCCGCATCAGGCTCTGCTGACAGCTCAGAGCCTGGAGCCTGCTTCAGATTCTGTGTCTCCCTCTCTCTCTCTGCCCCTTCCCCACTCATGCGCTGTCTCTCTCAAAGAATAAATAAACATTAAAAAAAAATTGAAAACACAACAGCATAACTAGCCCTCTAGAAGCTCCCTCTGTGCTCTCTTCTAGCCACTTCCTGATTTCTAATACTAGAGTGTATGTTACGTGTTTTTGACTTTTTAATAAACGGAATAATATTGCATGTGTATTCTTTCTGTGTCTGGCCTCTTTCAGTATTAGTGGGTATGTGTGTGTGTGTGAGTCATCTGTGTGTATAGTTGTGTCCCATTCCTTTGCCTATTTATGAATAGACTAAAATTTATGTACCCATTCTCTTGTTGATGGATATTTGAATTGTTTCCTATTTGGAGCTATTGTGAACAATGATGTTATTAACATTCTTACATTTGTTTCCTGGTTCATGTGTAAGAGTTCTCTTTAGGGTAGATAACTAGGGGTGTAATTGCTGGGTCATGGGGTATGTATATCTTTAGCTTTACCAGATAATGCCACCTGTTTTCTAAAGTAGTTGTTCCCATTTGTACTCTCACCAGCCTGTTGAAGGATTTTAAACAGCATATGATCAGGTTTATGTTTTTGAGAGATTACTATGGTTGTGTAGGGCAGACTAAGAAAGGATGTAGGATGACAGGATAGGAGATGGTTCTTCATGTAAATCTTATTATTTATTTATATTTTAGAGTCAGAGGGCCAGAGGGAGAGGGGGAGAGAGTGAATCTTCAGCAGGCCGTGTCCCCAACACAGAGCCTGATGCGGGGCTCATCCCACAACCCTGAGATCATGACCTGAGCCGAAGTCGGATGCTTAACCGACTGAGCAATTGAGACACCCCAGCTTATACATTTTCTTTGGAAAAATTCACAAATTTAGTCAGTCTCCTCTACTAGAGCCAGTTTTATTTATTCCAAGGGCTTACACAATGTAACGCATCCTGTTCAGACCCATATCGCAGTGCATTTTATAGTAAGTAGTACATAGTAATAATTCATTTGGATCTATATGCATAATTTGGATTTTATGAGTTCTGCTATATGAAAGAGCCACACAGAAGAATAAAGGTGACTTTTCAAACCATATATTAAGAATTAATTTTTAGGGGTGCCTGGGTGGTACAGTCTATTGAGTGTCTGTCCCTTGATTTTTGCCCAGGTAATGATCTCACAGTTTGTGGGTTTGAACCCCACATTGGGCTCCACACTGACCACATGGAACCTTCTTGGGATTCTCTCTGCCCCTCCCCTGTGCACTCTCTCTCAAATCAATAAATAAAAAAAATTTTTTTTAGATTTCTGTTATATGTTAGTAATTATTTATAGCATTTACCTATGGCAATGATTGAAATTATAGCATGTTTAAATTTTAGTTTTCTTTTTGTCTTTTAAGAAATTGTGGTAAAAAACATATAAATTTGTCCTCTTAACATTTTAATGTACAGTACAATATTAGTTGTATGTGCATTGTTATACTAAATTTGTTTAGGTTTTTTGTTTTTTTAAGGATTTTATTTTTAAGTAATCTCTATACCCAATGTAGGGCCCAAGCTCACAACCCCGAGGTCAAGAGTTGCATGGTCTGACCCAGCTTGGGTGCTCCTAAATTTGTTTAGTTTTGATGTGGAATTTAAGTTCTTATTTCCTTGTTGTACTCAACAGATTTGCAGTCTGTTTAACGGTAGGTCATAGGTGATTTTACTTGAATTACAAAATGTACTGTCTGACAACACATAATTATGGGCATTTTCCTTTTATTTCAGAGTTTTCTTGGAGGCTTTTTTGGACCCATTTGTGAGATCGATGTTGTCCTTAATGATGGGGAAACCAGGAAGATGGCCGAGATGAAAACTGAAGATGGCAAAGTAGAAAAACACTATCTTTTCTATGATGGAGAATCTGTTTCAGGAAAGGTAAATCTTGTGTTTGGGAGAACTACCTAGTTGTAGGATATTAGAATTAGTCATCAAAGTTGTCTGTGCTGTTTCTAAATTTGAATGATTTTGTTGGAGATGGAAGGTTTTTTTGGAAGGTCAGCTAAAATCCTTGATTCCATTAGAGCATTTATAGGAAAGATTTTTTTTTTTAAAGTTTACTTATTTATTTTGAGAGAGAGAGAGAGAATGGGGCAGGGGAGGGGTACACGAAGAGGGGGAAAGAATCCCAAGCAGGTTCCACACTATTAGCGCAGAGCCTGACTTGGGGCTCAAACTCATGAACTGGGAGATCATGACCTGAGCTGAAGTCAAGAGTCACTTGACTGACTGAGCCACCCAGGTTCCCCTACAAGAGAGATTCTTACTGGAAGGATTACAGGGACAGAGTCTAAAATTGTACGCAGAATTTTGTGTTTGTGACTATGCATGTTTTGCTTTAGCTTCTTCATTGGGGCTGTGATCCACTCAAAAGTTTGTTTCTCCTTTTACATTAAGTTGAGTTGTAGAGATTGGGGATAATTCTTTAGTATACCTTTCTAAAAATTTCTTTCTCATTCTTTGTAGCTTATCTCTCTACACTACTACTGTGGTGTCTGTTGATCTCATTTCTTGGTACCCTGTAGAGGATTTAATGTACATTTGGAATGTATCTATGCATAGTCAGATACGTTTATGATACCTTACGTAAGGTTTCACTTTTGCCCCTTTTCCTTATCAAGCAATGTAGAAGAATAATCTTTTTTTGTAGAAGAATAATCTTACACCTTAGCAAATATGATTGATACCCATTATCATAACTTTTGTTTGTTTGTTTTTTAATTTTTTTATTAGTTTTCTTTATTTTTGAGAGGCAGAGAGAGACAGAGTGCTTGTGGGGGAGGGGCAGAGAGAGAGGGAGACACAGAATCGGAAGCAGGCTTCAGGCTCCAGGCTCTGAGCTGTCAGCACAGAGCCCGATGCGGGACCCGAACTCAGGAACCGTGAGATCATGGCCTGAGCCGAAATAGGACGCTGAACCGACTGACCCACCCAGGTGCCCCGTTTGTTTTTAAGTCTCGAAGGGAACATTTATTGTCTGGTTTAACATAATCTTATGTCATCTGGGCCAATTAGGAGTTCATGGCTGATGTTTATAGGACAAATAAAGGAAGAGGACAAATTTAAGGAAATAAAGCTACTTCAGTGTGGTTTTTAAAAAACAGTAGGCCTTCAGATTATATTTTTGGAATTGCTAGAGATCATATGTAGACCTAATCAATAACTATAGACTACATTTTTTAAAATGATAAAACCTTTTGTAGATAAATGTTTTCTGTTGCTCAAAAGATACCGTATCTGGAATCTGATTATTTATTGACCTGAGATTTTTTTTTCATTTTTAACCTTTTTATTGTAAATAAAACACGTAGAGAAAAACCACAAAATAAATATAAGGCATGTTTTCTTGTAATTACCATTGATGTTAAGAAGGAGAACTTTGCCAGTTGCCCCTGTGTCTCATCTCAGTCAGTTATAGTCTCTTCTCAAAAGAAGCCAGCCACTATGCTTTCTATAATAATAAAATCCCTTGTGTTTCTTAATCGTTTCTTGTTCCTTTAAAAAGATTGATATCGCTTTTAAATCTCTTTCAATCTCTGGTTCCCTCTTTATGACTATCTTTTCTTTAAACTTTGAAGAACTTGGGACACTTGAACTGCAGAGTTCTTTGTGATTGGATACTCATGACAGAGTTTTTGCCTTGTAAATTGGTAGCTGAATTTAGAGACTTGTTGAGACACAAGTTAAATTCTATTGGCAAGAGTATATGTGGGTAGTGTTTTTGTTGTTTTTTATCAGAGGGGTACATGATATTTGCTTTTTGTATCTATTTTGCAAATGTTGTAACTGCTGTTAATATTGATTCCTGACATACCTTTAGAACACGTTATTAAATAGATGATTTATGAGTATTTTGAAAAGATAGCTTAAAAGAGAAGAAAACAAGCATTGATTATCTGTGACCCAGCATGTTCACTAAGAACAAGTCTAGGTTTTCTGAAATATCTGAATATAATAAAAAAGATTGTTGGATTAGAGTTGGGAGATCTAGCCATGACTTTACCAATCTTGGTAGATAATTCGGGGCAGTCATTTAACCTTATGGATTTCACCTTAAAATTAGGGAGGTTGGACTGAATAATTGGTTTCCAGACTTGGCTTTGCATTGTAGGGACTCTGCATAAAAATCCTGCATATATTAGATCTAGTTTTGAAGTTCTAAGAGGTCTGATATCCCATCCAAAGCAAGAATAAATTCTTTTTATGGTATTCCTGACATGTGAATTTCTGTCTGCATACTTTTTTTTTCCAGAACTTTTTTTTAAGAATTACTTTTTTAAGCAGTTTTAGGTTTACAGAAAAATTGAGAGGGAAGTACAGTTATTTCCTGTATACCTCCTGCCCTTATACATGTATAGCCTCTCATTATCAACATCACTCACCAGAGTGGCATAGTCTTTACTAAGGACAAGCCTACATTAACACATCATAATCACCCAAAGTCCATAGTTTACCTGAGGGTTCAGTCTTTTAGTGTTGCTATTGTGTGAGTTTGGACAAATGTATAATGACATATATCCATCATTATAATATCATACAGCATAGTTTCATTGCCTGAAAAATACTTTTCTTTGTACTACCTGTTCATCTCCCCTGTCCTCCCCCCCCGATTGTTCTGCCAGTTCGTCTTCCCTGTCCTGCCCCCTAAACCACTGACCTTTTTATTGTTTCCATAGTTTTGCTTTTTGCAGAATGTCATGTAGTTGGAATCATACAGTATCTAGCCTTTTCCGATTGGCTTCTCTAACTTTGTAATACGCAAGGTTCCTTCATGTCTTTTCACAGGCTCATTTCTCTTCAGTGCCAAATAATATTTCATTGTCTGGATGTATCATGGTCTTTTCTTTTTAAAGTTTGTGGGTTTTTTTGGGGGTGGGGGCACCTGGGTGGCTCAATTGGTTAGGTGTCTGACTTAGGCTCAGGTCATGATCTCGAAGTCTGTGAATTTGAGCCCTGTGTTGGGCTCTGTGCTGACGGCTCAGTCGAGCCTGCTTCAGATTCTGTGTCTCCGTCTCTCTCTGACCCTCCCCTGCTTGCTCGCTGTCTTTCTCTCATTAAAAAAAAAAGAATTTCTAAAGTTTTTTTTTTTAACTTATTTATTTTGAGAGAAGGAGAGAGACAGAAAGAGTGGGTTGGCAAGCAGGAGGGGGGCAGAGAAAGAGGGGGAGAGAGAATCCCAAGCAGGCTCTGTGCTGTGTGGGGCCCAAATTCACAAACTGTGAGATCGTGACCTCAGCTGAAATCAAGAGTCAGATGCCTGATTGTGCCACCCAGACGCCCCATATGTGCCACAGTTTATTTATCCACTCACCTACTGAAGCACATCTTGGTCGCTTCCAAGTTTTGGCAATTTATGAGTGAGGCTGCTACAAACATCTTTGTGCAAGTTTTGTATAGGTATAAGTTTTAAGCCCATTTGGATGAATACCTAGAAGTGTGCTTGTTGGATTGTGTGGTAAGCCTATCTTTAGCTCTGTAAGAACCTGCTAAACTGTCTTTCATTGTAGTGCTGCCATTTTGCATTCCTTCAGCAACGTGTGAGAGCACCTGTTGCTCCACATCTTTGTCAGCATTTGGTGTTGTCAGCTTTCTGGATTTGGTCCATTTTATTTATTTTATTTTATTTTATTTTTTTTAATTTTTTTTAACATTGATTTATTTTTGAGAAACAGAGTGAGACAAAGCGTGAGTGGGGGAGGGGCAGAGAGAGAAGGAGACACAGGATCTGAAGCAGGTTCCAGGGTCTGAGCAAGCGGTCAGCACAGAGCCTGATGCGGGGCTCGAACTCACAAACTGTGAGATCATGACCTGAGCCGAAGTCGGATGCTCAACCAACTGAGCCACCCAGGCGCCCCTGGATTTGGTCCATTTTAATAGGTGTGTAGTGGTAATGGGATGTTGAATATCTTTTTTATGTTTATTTGCCAAATGTTTATCTTCTTGGTTGAGGCTCCTGTTCACATGATCTGCCTAATTTTTAATTGGCAGAGTTTTAAATTGTTTGTTTTCTTCTTGTTGAGTTTTAAGAGATGTTTTTATGTTCTGGATAACAGTCCTTTACCAGATGTGTCTCCTGCAGATATTTTTTCTCATTCTATGGCTTGTCTTCTTGTAGTCTCATTCCCTTGATTGTTACATGGTATTAATTTTGATTTCCCTGATGTTCAGTGAAGTTGAACTACTTTTCATAGATGTATTGGCCATTTGATATCTTTTATGAAGTGCCTATTCAAGTTTTTTGGAGAGTGGGGAGAGCTCATTTTTCTACTCAGTTGACTTTTTTCTTATTGATGAATAATATTGGAGAGACAGTGCATGAGAGTGGGGGAGGAGCGGGGGGGGGGCGGTGGACAGAGGATCTGAAGCGGGCTTCGCTGCTGACAGCAGCGAACCAAAACTATTGAGAGCGTGACGTGGCCAAAGTTGGCCGCTCAATTGACTGAGCTACCCAGGCGCCCCCTTGTGGCTGTCTTTTGATGAATAGCTCTTAATTTTAATACATTACAAATGTTACGTTTCCTTATTATTATTTTTTTAAGTTTATTTATTTTGAGAGAGCACGAGCCGGGGAGAGGCAGAGAGAGAGAGAGAAAAAAAGAGAGAATCCCAAGCAGGCTCTGCACCATCAGTGCAGAGCCCGACATGGGGCTTGATCTCTCAAACTGTGAGATAATGACCTGTGTCAAAATCAAGAGTCTTAATGACTGAGCCAATCCAGGTGCCCCAATTTCCTTTTTGTTAGTATGTTTTGTATCCTATTTAAGGAATCTTTGCCTACGTTATGGGCATGAAGATATTCTCCTGTTACCTTTCTCCTGTAAATTTGTTTATTTTACACACTTCACATTAAAAATTTTTTTTAATATTTACTTATATTT